TAAAATGATGTGTGTAAAATTTCTTGAAAATCGGTTCAGATTTAGATATAGCTCCCATATATATATTTTCTTTCGATTTCATGTAAATGATGTACAAAATCCCCATATATCTTCCGATTTGCACGAAATTTGGAATAGCGTACTGAATTGAGTCTAGAATGATATGTGTAAAATTTCTTGAAAATCGGTTCAGATTTCGATATAGCTCCCATATTTATTTTCGTCCGATTTCATGTAAATGGTTCATCAAAGTCCCTATATATATATATTTCGATTTCCACGAAAGTTGGCATAGTGTACTGACTTGAGTCTAGAATGATGTGTGCCAAATTTCGTGAAAATCGGTTCCGATTTAGGTATAGCTCCCGTATATATTTTCCCCCGAAAATATAAGTCCCTATATATCTTTCGATTTGGACGAAATTTGGCATGGCGTACTGAATTAAGTAAGTTTCAGGAAAATTGGTGCAGATTTAGATATAGCTCCCATAGATGTTCGCCTGATTTAATTTTAATTTTTAATTTTGAACGAAATTTCACATAGCGTACTGAATTGAGTCTAGAATGATGTGTGTAAATTTTCCTGAAAATTGTCCGATTTTAACAGCCAAAGTTAGGACGACTGCCACACAATTTTGCACAACGTACTAAAGTATGTGTAATATAATATGTGACAAGTTTTGCTGAAATCAATTCGGATTTAGATATAGTTCCCATATATATTTTCTTCCAATTTAAATAAATGGTGCACCATAGACTCAAAGTAAAGCTGATTGACACAAAATTTTGCACAACGTACTTAAGATAGTATAGTTCTATAGTTAAGTTTTGTTGGAATCCGTCCAGATTTAGATATTGCTCCCATATAGTTTCGTCCGATTTAAGGTGGGACCCAGGGACCCAAAATATGTCAATTAGGAAAAAAGTGTGCATAAATTAGTCTATAGTTTTCATATCTATTTTCATCCTATTTTAGGTAAATGGTGCACCAAATTCTTAATGTTTTTCAGAATAGAATGAAGTAATTGCGTGTTACTTGGGCTCTAAATATTCAACGGGTGCGCGATTGATATTTGCTTTAAATCGGTTTACAGAATTTGGTCCCATTGTAACAAACGAATGGCATGTTTATGGATTGATGTAAGTCGGTCCACATTTAGATATAGGTCACATATTTTAGTTCATCCAATTTCATGTTAATGGCAATTCTGTTAGAATGCATTCGTTTAATATACCCATAGTGGTGAAGGGTATCATATGGTCGGCCCCGTCCGAATTTACTACTTTCCTCACTGGTTTAGGTTGTCTTCCACTCGATCTTTCCAATGAATTAGTGGATTTCCCCTTCTGCGTGAACCATCAGTTGGCTCGCTTTTATATGCCCTTTGAGCTGGGGTATCATCATCCATTCTCACAGCATAACCCAGCCAACGTAGTCGCTGCATCTCGATACGTCTGACTATGTCGATGACCGAGATATTCACCATTAAGGTAGATCGGCCCATCACCTCTCGGAGAATTTTTCTCGCAAACACTTCAAAAGCAGCCTCATCTGCTTGCGCATGTACATATGCTTCAGATCCATATAACAGCACGGTTAGTATCAGCGTCTTGTAGAGTGTGAGTTTGGTCTAGCGAAATGTGGCCTTGTGTTTGAGTTGCTTACTCAGACCATAGTAGCCAACACTATCCTTCTCCGAATTTCAAAACTGATATCATTAGATTTATTTACGGCGGTACGGATGTATATAAAACCTTTGATTACCTCGAAGCTTTCATTTTCAAGTTCCAGAGTTGGTTCGAGTCTACTAGACGTGTTGCGCGTAGATACCATTCTCGCCATTTACTGCTAATCCCACTTTGGCATACTCTTTTTCAATTTGTTCAAATGTGGATGTTACCGCTCGCAATGTTCGACCCATTATGTCGATGTTATCGACGTAGGCGAGTAACATATGCTGTTTGATAAACAGAGTGTCATTTCTGTTAAAATTTGCATCTCGCTGGATGTTAAAAAGGTCACTTTGTCGGAATCTTCGTTTGCCGTTAAAAGGACTTTCCTTGCAGACCTTGTGCCAGTTAAAGTTACCCTGCATAGCCGTATAAATTTTGCGGGAATGCTAAACGCAGACATGGCTTACACACCTCTGAGCGGATAGGACTGTCGAATATGGCTTTATAGTCGACGAATAGATGGAATTTGCCGATATGTTTTTGGTGGTCTTTTCCAGGATTTGGCGCAGAATGAAAGTGTGGTCAATGGTGAATTTGCCAGGTGTGAAGCCGCATTGGTATAGTCCAGTCGTGCACACTGCTCTTTAGCACTTTATATTCATTTCTCTAGTCAAATTGTGTTAATCAGTTGGCACATGCTCTGGTCACCGGACAGACGCTGATCCATCAGCACCTGCTGCTTTATTATTCTTGAACCGATTAATTGATATTCTGACCTCATATTGGCTAGGTGCTATACCATCTATACTCGTACCGTCAGCACTTATTGGTTCTAGGGTATCTTCCTCTCAATTACTATTTGATACCAGAAGCTTTACAAAATGCTCCTTCCAGATCCTCAACATGCTGTCTGTATCTGTCATAAGGTTTTATTTTTCATTTCTACATGAGGATGAGCCTTCATCAAAGCCTTCAGTTTGGTGTTTTACTCGGACTTCATTCTAACTCCTGTACATCTCGATATGCTCACGCTCGTTCCAATCACTCTTTCGGACCAAAGACCTCACCAAACAGTGACTTTTTGTGGTTTTAATGGCCTCTCATCAATTACTTGAAGATTCTAAGAACCCTAGATAAGAATATATATATATATATATATGCGCTTGACTTTGTATACATGTATGTAGTAAAAAATATGCCATAATGTGCCGTAATAATGATATGATTCCTGAGAACGACGAAATACTCGAATCTTTGGCAACACAGTCACTTAGAGCAGCCATAATTGCAATGGAAATAGTGTAAGGATAATTCACAGGCCTTACAATATTTGTAACCGCTAAAGCTACATTTTTACAAAGCTTCTTCTCCACTTTTGTCGGAAGTTTAGGGTGATTACCAGGGCCGACCTGTTTTATAAATCCCAAATATAGGTTCATGGTATAATAATAGAAGGTAACAGCAAGTGTTGTTGTACAAAAAACCATACAACAACCACATGGTAATTTGTTGTTGTACGTTCTACTAGTGTCAACTCATTTGACAGAAAAATGTAAACAAACAAATTATCATCAAATTTTTTTTATTTTGAAAATGAAATATTTTCGAAACTTCAAAATAAAAATTGAAAAACATGAATGAAAATCTATCAAATTTATATTTCTATCGCTTCCACATCATTCCTATAATTGAGCCATTGCCATATATATGTGTAACACATATGAAAATGCTGGGAATAGCGAGTTATTCCTTGAAGAAAGATTTGCTTCCTCAAACTTTCCCAGCAGACAGATTGAGTAAATTGAATACGGGAGCACATTTAATAAAGAACAATTTCAAATTGTATGCGTTCCCAATTTTCCTGTTGGGTGATTTTTAAAAACAAAATTTGTCAAATTCATATTGACACTAGTATTACGTTGGAATCAAATCAGCTGGGATTTGCTGTTACCTTTAATAATTGTACCATGATTTAGGTTTAGAAAAATAAAAGTGGAACCAATGTTTTGTTTTCTCGAATTTTTGATTTTATTTGATTATTTCAAAATCGGATCTCGGATTTAAAATAAAATTGTCGACGCTTAATTTCTATACCCTTTAAGCGATGTCCGTCCGTCTATCTGTTGAAATCACAGATTTGAAATTTTACACTAGTTGAGCAGAGAATCAGAGAGTTTCAAGTTTTGAAATAACCCCCACACAAAGTTCCAGACAAGTGGGCTATAATTGGTACTCCTGGTTCTGTCCCTTTTTTGGGATTTTTGGATATAAGTTCATGTTTTGACATGTTCGGCATTTTCCAACCGAAATATTTGTAAATTGACAGTGCAGGATGATCCAATGTTTGTCACATTTAAACGAAAATTATTCGATTGTAGGAGTAAGTAATTAAGTCTAAAAGCAGTGAGCGGAGCAGTATAGTCGGACGGAACCGACCATATGATACCCTACACAACTACCATCGAACTCCAACTTTCTGCTGATCTGTATTCGAAGACTGGGCAATATTTCAAGATATTTGCCTCCGTTTGACCAATTAGAGGTCTACAGACCCTCTTTCTAAAGATGGAATATTTTCCGAATCTTGTTTCCCTGGGGTTAATATTTACGGCATAGCATTATCTCGTTTATTATGAAAACAGCCCTTCCAAATAGTTGGTCAAATTTAGTTGTGATGTTCGGCTTATCATTGTGGCCTCTAGAGCGACTAAAAAACAGACAAAAATACATTCTCGATCCATTCCATCCCTTAACATCATCCGTTGACCACCAAAAAGTATAGCTGTCGTTCTTGGCAATAACCGGAACTACATGTAAAATAGCGATCAACGCGATATTTACATCCCCTAGTGTGGTAGAAGGAATACGAAACGATATCATATATGTAGATCCCTCCAAATATTTACGTATAACTACGCTATCCGAGTACTTACAACAATATAATTGGTATCAATTCAAAGGTTACACGGTCTATGTTTTTTAAGGAATACACCATAGAATGTAATTGTAAGGATATAAAAACGAGCGGTACCAATGATCTATTACTTCCCAGCCCGAAATGCATAAATATTTGTCATCTACGTTCTCACATGAATATATCCATATTTCATACAATCTGATTACTCACGTTGTCCTTAGAGATACCAACATTTTTAAAATGACACAAATTAAAGAATACCAAAGAAAATCCCTTTATTTTTTCCTTTGAAATAATTTAAATATATATTTGTTTGCATGAATTTATTAAAAAAATGCTGCAACCCAATTGTTGTTGCTAGCTATGGCTTTTGTTTTCAAAATATTTTCTATTTTTGTTTTCTTAAACAATGACCATTGTTCAACAACATTTTCTTTGCTTTCATTCATTCCTACCATCGTTCTTTATTTTTCAGATAATGCCAGCAATGTGTCACACAGCATCAATTTGGCTGACATTGGCGTTGGCCGTACAAAGGTATGTAAACTTGTGTTGTAACTGTATTCGTTAACACGACAACTGTATAATGATGATGTCCATCGTGGGGCGGTTTTGAAGGCGGCCTCCCTTGTAGTAGTAGCCTCTGTTGTTTCCTTGCTCAAAAAAAGCAAAGCAAAACATAAACTGCAAGGTCATGTAAAATTTACAGTCTTTTTTTTAAGGATAACCACCAAATGTCAGTCAGTGTCAAGGACAGCTAAAGTTTTGAAAGAAAATTAAACGAAAATATTATTTGTGACCTGCAAGAGCGACAAAATTCAAAACATTTCGAGAAGTGTGGTATAAAAATAAAAAATTGCGCGATGGGATATACATATGAGAGGCAAAATGATAGGTTTTGCCCCGTGCTATCGTTTCAAATAAAAATTAAGTCCACCTGCAGCTTGTCATGAGGCCAATCGACTCCACTATGAAGAGTGTCTTCATGTAATCTATAAAGACCACCTTCACCACATTTATAGAAAATCCCTCAGCTCGCCTATAAAGACTATTTTCAGCTCATTGAAAGAGCCCTTAGACCTTCTAAAAATAGCTCGTCTAAAAAGACACCCTTCAGCTCGTATATAAAGACTCCCTTCAGCTCGTCTATAAAAACTCCCTTCAGCTCGTCTATAAAGACTCCCATCAGTTCGTCTATAAAGACTCCCTTTAGCTCGTCTATAAATACCCCCTTCAGCTCGTCTATAAAGACTCCCTGCTTCAGCTCGTCTATAAAGACTCCATGCTTCAGCTCGTCTATAAAGACTCCCTGCTTCAGCTCGTCTATAAAGACTCCCTGCTTCAGCTCGTCTATAAAGACTCCCTGCTTCAGCTCGTCTATAAAGACTCCCTGCTTCAGCTCGTCTATAAAGACTCCCTGCTTCAGCTCGTCTATAAAGACTCCCTGCTTCAGCTCGTCTATAAAGACTCCCTGCTTCAGCTCGTCTATAAAGACTCCCTGCTTCAGTTCGTCTTTAAAGACTTCCTGCTTCAGCTCATCTATAAAGACTCCCTGCTTCAGCTCGTCTATAAAGACTCCCTGCTTCAGCTCGTCTTTAAAGACTCCCTGCTTCAGCTCTTCTATAAAGACTCCCTGCTTTAGCTCGTCTATAAAGACTCCCTGCTTCAGCTCTTCGATAAAGACCCTTCCGTCTATATAAAGACTCCCTTCAGCCCGTCTATATAAATACTCCCTTCAGCCCGTCTAGATAAAGAGTCCCGTTCAGCTCGTCTATAAAGACTCCCGTTCAGCTCGTCTATAAAGACTCCCGTTCAGCTCGTCTATAAAGACTCCCGTTCAGCTCGTCTATAAAGACTCCCGTTCAGCTCGTCTATAATGACTCCCGTTCAGCTCGTCTATAAAGACTCCCGTTCAGCTCGTCAATAAAGACTCCCGTTCAGCTCGTCTATAAAGACTCCCGTTCAGCTCGTCTATAAAGACTCCCGTTCAGCTCGTCTATAAAGACTCCCGTTCAGCTCGTCTATAAAGACTCCCGTTCAGCTCGTCAATAAAGACTCCCGTTCAGCTCGTCTATAAAGACTCCCGTTCAGCTCGTATATAAAGATTCCCTTCAGCTAGTCTATAAGGACTCTCTTTATCTACTCCATAAGGACTCGTCAAAAAAAAAAATACCTTGAGCTCCTAGAAGCCTCCCTTCGACTACGTACATCATATAGCTGGCTCTAGATTCTCGCCTCCTTTGTCAAGTCTCCCCTCTGCTAGTATATAAATTTATATGTATGTACATGTGTATTCATGTACACTTGAGTAATAGTAAAGAAGTTTCCTTCTTTGACCAGCAATCAATTTATCCTCTTCGAAAGAAAAAACCGGAAAGCGGAATTTAGTTATTCACAGCAATGGGAATTTCGTGTTAAATTTTCTTTTCATCGAAAAGTGCATATCCTGCAAAAAGGAAGGGAAATAAAAAACCAAAAAAGGAAAACATACTCTAAACATACAATGTTGCAAACGAAATTCCAAAACGAAAGTTTTCTATGTGGTCGAGAAGGTAAACCTTACAAAAGAAAGTGAAAGGCAAATGCTTTTGCGAATAAAGGATCGAAAAGGCGAATAGGAAAACGCCGATTGTCGCAACTATTGAATGCTGTATAGTAGAAGTACAAACATGTTTTAGAGCTTTCAGCAATAACAACAACAAATATGGCAAAACAATATTGTTCGATATCCGTTGGTAAAGTGAAACTGGTCTTATGGGCCAGGACGATAAGAACTTTATTTAAGGTGCAGGCCAAGTGTGGAGTTGAATATTTAATACACTAAAATTTAAAAAAAGGGGAAATATTGAAAAAAATCTGCCTGGTAATGGATCTTAAGTGCACCATTTATTGTAAATCGGACGAAAATATATATGGGAGCTATATCTACATCTGCATCGATTTTCACGAAACTTTGCACACATCATTCTAGACTTAAATCAGTACGCTGTGTCAAAATTCTTGCAAATCTAATGATTTTCAGGGACTTTGGTTCACAATTTACCTAAAATCGGGAGAAACTATATTTGGGAGCTATATCGAAATCTGAACCGATTTTCACGAAACTCGAGATAGACCCATGGTTCCTTTTTAGAATATGCATAGAATCACTTTTTAAGTCGATTTATGCATGTCCGTCCGTCTGTCTGTCTGTTCATGTTAAATTGTAAACAAAGTACAGGTCGCATTTATGATCCGAATTGGATGAAATTTGGCATATGTCGGCCCAAAGCAAATTTGGCAAATTCGGCCCAAGGACGAACCCTATTGAAATTGGGAAAAATCGGTTCAGAGTAAATATAGCTCCCATATATATATATATATTTAATCGATTTAATGTAAACAGTCCTTATATATCTTTCGATTTGCACGAAACTTGGTACAGCGTAATCATTTAGATCTAGAATGATGTCTGCCAAGTTTCGTGAAAATCGGTTCAGATTTAGATATAGCTCCCATATATATCTTCGTCCGATTTAAGGTAAATTGTGTACCAAAGTCCCTATATATCTTTTGATTTGCAAAAAAAAAGCAAAAGCAAAAAAAAAAATTAAATTGTGTACGATGTAATTTCAATTTCATCCCTTTGTCCAATTAAGGGAACCCCCCCCATTCTCGATTTTTTATTTTTAAGATTTTAAATGGGCTGGTAAATGAATACCTATGCATTTTAAGGTTTGTAACTTTGCACATATATATTTGAGGATTTAAAAAGGAAGAAAAATAATTTACAAACAATTTTTGTTGTTGTTTTTTTGTTATCAAAGAAATGTCCTTATTTTTGATAACTCCTCACTCGAACATCGGAATCCGAAAATTCCAACGGTGTTAGACAGAGTACATGTCTGGCTCTAGGATTATTGACTTTGCACAACAAATAACAAAATGGCGTAACTTTATTTATTTATTTTTTTTTTTTTTTTGGAAAAATCACCTATTTGTTGGCCACATACCAAGTTAAAAAATAATGAAGGTCTTCATCGATTGACATTATCCTAGTTCATACGATAGCTATACACTCACAGAGAAACGTCCCAAAATTTGAAATCGATCGGAATATGTTTTTGTCGAATATATTCGACATTTAAAATTACTCTCTTCCTTTGCAATTTTTCGGTTATCCTATGTACCGTTACAATTGATGTCTTTGTTTTTGCTGAAAGACAGACAAGGGTTAAAATAAGAATTGTTTTTTTTTTCTAAACTCTGTGCCTTGATATGATTTTAAGTACAAAATTTTAGATTTTTTTCCGACAACATTTTTGGTATAATGGTATACCATAACGATATTATATTTACCAAACTAAATCGAGGGATGGCGAGGATGAATGATAAATACCAAGCAACGGCTTTGATTGGCTTTAACATGGCAAAGCCCTCGTGTCCAGATTCACTCCTATAGACGAATTTCTATAATCCTTATAAAAACGAAATTCTTCTAAATAAGTCTTATTTGCTTCGATGCTCCAATGGAAGACAAAGATAAACAGACCAAAGGTACATCCTACAACAGCAAGAGGTTGATTGATTTCGCGGCAGCAAAAAAGATGGCAGCACTAGATTAAAGCATCTCAATATACACAAGAACACCTGGTTTTCTCCCGATCACACAACCAGAAATCAAATTTATATAGTTGTCATAGACGGAAGGCATTCATTCAGTGTTTCAGACGTTCGATCGATCCGAGGAGCGAATATCGATTCGGACCATTACCTTGTGGCAGCCAACGTTCGCACCCGTCTAATGTAACACGGAAACTTGACGTCGAAAAGCAGCAAACAGATTGCAGAAGCCTACTCCGCTCAACTCACCCAATTGCTTAACGAAAGCACTCATTGTTTCGATAGTAATATAAAAGCACAATGGCAAAGATTTGCCCACTCCCTACAAACTGTAGCAAAATCAACACTTGGGTACCAAAAACCACCATCAAGAAACCCGTGGTACGATCAGGAGTGTCGAAATGCTACTGAGGCGAAAAACTCAGTCTGCATACATTAGCACCACGTAATGTGAGAGGGAATTACCGGGATCAAAAGAAGCGAGGAGACACATATTTTCAAAAAAAAAAAAATAAAAAACAGTGAGCGGAGCAGTATAGTCGGACGGGGCCGACTATACGATACCCTACACAACTACGACGGAGTTCTAACTTTCTAAGGAAGTTTATTCCGAGCCTGGGAAATATTTCGTGATATTTGCACCTTCTTGCCCGATTAGAGGCCAAGAGCACATCTTCCATACACTGACATATTTTCCGAATATTACTAATATTCGGTACAGCCCTTCTTATTACTTGAGCGTGGGTTGTATGGTGATGATCGGTTTATAACTGTGGCCTATAGATCGATTCGAAAAATTACAAACAAATTTAATTTTCGGTCCACTTCATTCTAAAATTATTATCTGATCATCACCGAAAATTATAAGCGCTGTCCTTGACCATAACTGGAACCCAATGGAAAATTTCTAATCGATGAGTATTATATTTCCGCCC